TTTTTCAACAAATAAATGTGTTTTATGCCTGTTAAGAAAAACTCATCCCTTTTGCAGTCAACAGGAGTTTTACATGTTTTTCTGTTTTTAAGAGTTATAGATTAATGAATTTAATCAAACACATACACAAATAGCTGAATTGTTTAATCCCCTTACAAAATTTGGTTTAAATATTTTTTTCCAACCAGAAAGTTTGTCTCTTCTTGGTAATAGATCTGTCCTCCGTTATCAGATTAAATGCAAGAAGATGATCAAAAAATCAGATTTCTTTCCACTTGCTGTTCATAGAAATGTCATGTGAAACATGACTATCTAATAACGTTATTTGAATAAAACTCCTTTACACTAGCTCTTTCCTGATTCCATGGGTATTTCATTTATTTCTCTATGGTAAAGAGCTCCACTGCTTTAAGGTTGGAAGGTCTCTTTGCCATCCCATTTAGTCAGTTTCACAGATTTCTGAGCATATGTGGAGATGTCCCAGTCAGAATAAACATTATAGCCAAATAAAAATGATCAATTTAAAGTTACATCTTTTAGAGGATGAATTATTTTGTATTTAATTCCTCATGATGTGGTGGAAAATTGAGCTAAAAAGTAAAATTAATCTAATAAGCTTTGAGAAAATGTAATGAAAGTCATAGAGACAAACAAAATATGATGTGTAAATGCAAATTAAAGATACTTACAAAATCTGAACAGCCAAAATGAAAGACAACCCACTATCACTGCCAATGCCACTGATATCCCAGCTATGGTGGCTTTATTTAAGACTGCTGGAAGAGATAAAAACATGTCAGAAATGCATGGTCCCAGTACACTTTCAATTTTACAACTTCAGTAGCAACAGGATGTCAGATCTGCTGATTTTTTGTCCATATGAAAGAGAGCTGCTAAAATCTGAAAAATAAATGCATTTTTTCATAATTACTGCTAAGACAATTTAAATGTTTCAACAGTTCACAGTTCTTTAAGAGACAACTGTAAAGTTCTAGGTTTATTTCAGCTTCTTCCAACACACAGACAACAGTGGCCTCTGATGCAGGAGTTCACCCAGCTCTGTTGTTCTGTTCTTGGGCATGATACTAAATCCTCTGACCTTCTGCAGACAGGGTACAAACCACTTCCTGGTGGTGGTCAGAGGACCTGTGTCTGTGTATGGCAGCCTCGGGCAACAGTGAGTCTATGTCTGGTTGGGGGAGTGGCTGAATTTAGTTTAACAAGCTTTGCATCTCCTGACTTTAAAAGATGGAATATAAGCACAGGCCTTTTCTATAAGGGACTTCACCTAACCTGACTGACCTGTGCATGGAGGCGCATGATTGTGAGTAAGGCTGGGTGTCAAATGCTTTGAATGGTCACTGTGACTAGAAAGGTTCTAAGTTCAGTTCATTTAGAATTAAGAGAGAAATTCTCTGTTGGTTAGAATATCTACAACACTGGTTGTTTCGCAAAAACTTTTTACAAATGATTAATCCAAATCCTGGGTGCGCGGGTTAAACTAGGGAGTGTTAAACAAAATTAAAATCATAATTGTATAAGTCATTAGTCACAAAGGTTACAACTATGATGTGAATCAACATGCTTTAGGTTAGATTAGAGTAAGTATTAGAGTCAGCAACAAATGCAACTGATAAAATAAATGGGACCCAATGCAACCACTGATAATGTTTAAAACATTCATTTGTTAGCATGCGTGTCTGCTAAGGTGTGAGTGTTAGGGTTAAAATGATAATAGTCCAGGTTTTGTTATCATTTTATCAAATCAGGTTGTTGGAGGTTAATAACGATCCTGATGTAGGACACAGGCTAAAGCCAACAGACAAACACGCTTTAGACTTATAAATAAAAACCAAAAGAGCCTATTTCATTTTATTCAACTCATAGTTATGCTAAACTATTTTAGGTTTTACCATGTAAAATATCTAACTCTTCAATACTATAAATGAAAAGTAGTAGCATGGTTACCTTAAATCTTACCTGGTTCATTCTTGCAGGGAGATACTAAAGGCTTTGTATCATCTGTCCAGCTTACAATGTTGCTATGGTTACATAAAACAGAGCCTTCCTGTACGTAGACCGTCAGCAAAGAGTCCTTCACATCTGGTTCGCTCAGTGGATAGCAGGTCTGATTGTCACATTGATAGTTGCCACTAACTTCAGAATCCACCACTTTACAAGTTGCAGTGAAATTACAGTCCCAGGCATCAAATGAATGTGTTGTTAATTTGACTGGAGACACTGGATCTGAGAAAAGAAAAGACGTGATTGGTTTCATAATAGGGCACTTTTATAATGTTTCAAAACAGGACAAAAAAAGAAGAAACCCACCTTGGACTGTGACTGTGTAATCAGCTATAATCCTCTCTTTAAGTCCAGTTGCTGTTGCCTTATAGTTTCCACTGTCTTCATGTTGAACATTTCTTATTACCACAGAATAGTTTTGTTCAAAAAAATATGCTCTACCTTGATATTCCCCAAGGACTGAGGGTTCTTTGCCATCATTAAATTTTATAATAAGATCAAAGTTACATTTCCAGTTAAAATCATCTCCTTGTTCAATTGCATTTTTGTCTACATTCAGCAGCAGGTCTGATCCTTTCTTCACAAACCGAGTTTCAGAGCCTGAAAGAACAGAAGTTATATTTTAATCATTAAATAATATCATCATGTTCAGTTTCTAGAATATCCTTAAATTAATTTTGAAGCAGCAGAGGAGATCTCTTCACTATTAGACTCTGACCCTGCAGTCATTCATCCATTTTCACACACATTCACACACTGATGATGGCAAGCTACACTGTAGCCACATCTGCCCTGGGAATCATTGACAGAGGCGAGGCTTCGGTACAGCGACGCCACATGGCCCTCTGAACACCACCAATAGGCAATGCAGGTGAAGTGCCTTCTCCAGGGACACAACGACACTGATAGCTAGAGCTTAGGCTTGAACTGTCAACCATTCAATGGGTGTCTCCCCAAAATTAGAACATTTAGTCGTTCTGGTCCATTTAAGCTGTTCAGACAGCTATGGTCAAGAAGACAAGGCTAAGATAAAGAAGGCAAATACTTCCTCTGCAATCTGTGCTTAAATTAATGGTTTTGTCAAACATGACTTAAATAGAATCTGTTAATACCTAATAAATTTTCCTTCTTTTTCTACAATATCTGAGAAACGTTCTTTCTCAGATTTGGACTGGGTGATCAAAATGATTGAACAGAAGCAAAGAAGGCGTTCTACTACGAGACTTTTCTGTTCACATCATACAAAGTCTCCCCACATGCTGCTTTGGGGCTATAGCTTATTTTTCAAACCTTGGTTTAATCAGAAATGTATATTGACAGATCTAGTTTAGCAAATGCCTCCTTGCCAGAACAGCTATCAGCACAAAGAACATAACTACACAGAGAAAAAACATAGTTCAATATATAATCTCTGAAAAGCAACACTGGAAGCTATCTCACTGATTTTAATCATATCTATGAGGCTCACTGTTTAATCAGGGTCAATAATGTTCTCCACAATCCTACAGGACTCTGCCCTCATTGCTTTCTGTATTTTAAGCAGATTCCTCTATTCTTTAATCCTGGTTGAGAAGCCAATAAACATAAACCATATATTTTCTGTCTTGTATTTCTTTCTTTCCTCTATCATACTTTATGACTTTAGAGACTGAGTTAAACAATTAATATTTTTGTTTTGTACTTGTTCTGTAGTCCAGGAAGTTTTGTCCAATTCCACTTAATCCTTTTGGTAAAAATACTCAAGACAATAATAAATCTCATTCTAATAAACCAACACATACGAAGAATGAGAACATTCAAAACTTCAAAGTTAAGGTCAAGATCTTTTGTTATAACACAACAAACAACCTGCTGCCACAAAGAAAGCTAAAGAGTTTAATACAGGTCCAAAAAAAACTACTGTATTTTCACGACCATAAGGTGCACAGTACTAAAAGGCGCAGTCTCAGTTATGTGTGCCGTTAATGTATTTAACACACACATCAGGCGCACCGGATTATAAGGCGCGGGTTTTATATACCGGTACATATCCTCTACTACTACGTTTAAATACCTCTACTGCGTATTTAAAAATACAGCAGGAGCAAAACTGAGTATGACTGTGCTTTATTCATGTATTTATTACAAAGTATTAATCAAACCTGGGAGCTGGCCGTGAGACAGACACATCGCTGATGACACAGAGTGCTGTGATCACTGCTCTGAAACAGTTTATTGATGCATAAATTAACCTAAAATGCAGAAATCTGCCAGCAGAATATGTTCGCTTTTATTATCCTGGTGCCTGCAGTTTAGATTATTTCGATGAAAAACACCTACCAGCTGCCGCGGTGAACCGCGAGGAGGCGACCCGGCCAGAGGCTGCTCTTGAATGGGATCCTACTGACAGTACACCGCTGGTATGTGGGGGTCTGAGCGGCTCCGACAGAACTAATATTAGAAGGCAGGATGGTAATCTGGATGAACTGACTGCAATGATTAAGTTTTCAGGTGTATTTTCCCACTTAAAAACATATTAAAACTACTTTATTCCCACTGATCACAGCAAATATAGCTGCAAGGCAAAGAAAGGATAGAGTAGCTCTGCCCAACGCGCGTCAGACACACTTTTGCACCGCGCAGACAGAGCAGCAAAGCTGCTTCAGCCGCACGTCAGAACTAACTGGTACAAGCAGCAAAAATGAAGCAGCAGACGGGTTAACGTAGCATTACTTTGAACGGCCGGTTCACACCGATGTCGAGCGGTTGAACTTCCTTAGTCAGACCTCCCGGAATAACAGCGAGCACAGCGTTAATTTGTTTCACCATGTTTTTCACATCGGCTGTGAGATGGGCACGCATGGAGTCACAGATCAACAGCGATGGTGATGCTTGGAAAAAATCACCTGGTCTCCTTACATTCACCTCCCTCAGCCACTCTTTCATCATCTCCTCAATGAGGAGATGAGGAGTTCTGCATAAAGCACATACCTGTTCTGTTATACACAATCCACGCCAACACTTTCCCCTTTAACGTTCTTATGGCGGTCTCAACAACGTCCGCAGTAACAACACACGTAGGGCGCACCGCACTATAGGGCGCGCCGAACATTTTGAGGGAAAAAAAAAGACGTTTATATGCGCCTTATAGTCGTGACAATACGGTAACTAGACTGTAATGAAATTTTCATAAACATCAGCAAGCATATAAAAAATATAATTTAAAAGTTCACTAAATACTAAGAGTTTGGGTCAGACTAGAACTGCTAATGTTTTCCCTACCAAAGTCAGCGCTGAAACTTAATGTACAAGAAAGAGACCCTGATCAGTTAAAATATTTTGTGTCATGAAATTGAGCACAATGGTTGATTATCTTTTAAGTGTATCTGAAATTTAAGCTGTTTATGCTGCTTTTCGATGAGAGGAATTTAAGGCATTGATTTTAGTCTTTCATCAGCTCTACCTTCTATACCTACCTTCAGCTATACCTTCCATTGCTTCATAGACATCAATTTCGAAGAATTAAAAACTATTCTGTAAAAATTCAAAATATATCCACTGGACTTGGTTTCCAAGATTTGAAGACGTTTCGCCACCTCTCCAGGAAGCTTTCTCAATTCAAATGTCTGGATCCGCAGTGAGTTTGAGTCTTATAAAGACAAAGCCTTGCATCGCTTGGAAACATGCAAATGGTAACCGATGAATGGGTCGTTTGGTTCCATTGTTAGCCTGTAATATCTGAAACCTGTCTATGATTCTGAGGATCGGTAGTTAAAGGGAGGGGATTACCGTTAAGGGGGGGATTGTCTCCTGTAATTACAGCAGACAATCAGAATGACTATGACCTGGATTACTGAGAACCATCATCAGCAATTAAAAACTAGAATAATTTAACAAACTTATGACAAATACAATGAGAATACATTAGTTCTAAGAGTAGCAAACCATGAAACACTAACAAAATCCCACTAATAGTTATTCTCTCTGTCCACTGCCAATAAAATAATGTCTGGTTAATAGAGTGGAAGCTGAAGTCCAAAGACAGGTTGGATAAATCACTGATTAAAATAACTTTTTAGAGAATCTACATTACATTTTTTTTTACATCACCCACATGTGGTCGCCTTAAACATAACATCTAACTGATAAATAGGGTTTGGTAAGGCTTTTTTTCCCATATTACCTTCTTCAAATCTACAAAGGTTGTTCAATTAAGTGTTACAAATTGCCACAGCAACTATTAGTCCTTTTTTGTAAGAAATAACATGAATTTTACCTTTAACTGTATCCAGCACAGAGATGAGAAGAAGCAGAACAACCACAGCCATGACTAGGAGTCAACTGTGAAGCGGAAGTCAAGCGTTCTCTTTTTTTGGTTTTTACAGTTTCCCCTTTTTAGAGAGCGCTTTTGAAACTACCCTGCGCATACTGAAACTAAATAAAATGTATAGACTTATTCAAGACTGCAAGACAATCAAATAAATGTACTTACTGTATATAGTGCCAATTCACAACATATAATCTCAAGGCACTCCAAAGGGTCTTTTCACAGAATCATACAGACAGACTGGTTAAATTTAAAACAAAGGAAACCTACATCTCTAAAGTGTTGGAGTTTAGAGTGAATGCCCCTCTACCATGACTGACGACAAAACTTTTTATTTAAGAAAAAGACAATTCATGCTAAACAAGCATAGATCTTCATTCCCTTTTTGTTCCAATCATCAAAGCCAAATTTAAATTAGTTCAAACAAATCTTGTAGTAAAATTGTAATTGCAGATTACAGTTTTATATTTTTACTTCTTTTTGTTACTTAAATTTTTCATATCATTATATATTGTTATTAAAGACAAGATTTTTGGTTTTTGATTTTATTTTATATCCCGTTTTCTGAAGAAGTAATTGCAAATACTAGATTCAACTGCCCTTTCTGATTCACTTTTCTTTGCAGGATTGAATTCTGAAGGATAGCAGCCTTTTCAATATCATGCTAAAAGACTTGAATAAATTATAATATAATTTCTAAAAATCTTTTTTTAGCAATTAGGGTTTAGACTTTCTTGTGTTCTTTAGATTATTATACTACTACGGTATATATCTTATTGTCGCTGGAGCTTAACACAAACTGAGGGTCAGACATTCACCTTCATCCAAGTCATGGTGTACTAAAAAAGACCCTTCTATGACAGTAGCAAGCAGTTGGATTTAAAGGAAAACACAGATGTTAATTGTTCTACCAACATCAATGAAGCACTTTTTTGGATAACTTATTTAGGCTCTTAAGCATGAGGAATATTTGAGCAATGGAATATCAATGTCAGCTTATGTTTGTGGGTTTATGGCAGACATAAAAATTGTGTAAAAAATTTAAGGTTTATTTTCATCAGGACACAGTCTGTTGCTTTGACATGTTTTAGCCCCCCAAATGTTGTCTTTATCAAATTAAATTACTTTCAAAAGTACTTTTGTAATCCAAAAATTAAACAAAATTTGTAGTAGTATGTCTGAGCACTATTTAAGAGATTTTTTATTTCTATTATTTTGGCAGCATTGTGTTTCGTTGTGGCTCGTTAAAATAAATTCATCTTTAAAAAAGGAAAACTTCATTGCTCAGCACTATCTTGTCATTTAATAAAACTGGAAGGCTTGACTTTTTAGTCCTTAATGATGAGAAATATGCTTTTCTTTGTTTTGCAATATTGTTATTTCACTACAAACAATGCCATATGTTAGCACAAGGTCAAGAGTGTGAAGATGGTGATGCATGAGACTATACACATTTTGAACAAAGTCAATCAAGTCTAAATAGCTTTAAATACTGCCTTTAAGCTGTTAGCTTTAATACTGGCACTGTCAAGTGGTTCACACTTTTTTGTTTGGTATTTAAACTGCAGGTTTCCCCCACTTGAAAAGGCAGCTTGCTTCCAGAGATTTCACAGGATTTCACTCAGAACACCAAAGTTGATTCTTTCCTTTTTTTCTCTCTTTAATTTGAAAGTTCAATAACAATAGTAGCATTGATAGAAGTAGTAGCAGAAGTAGTAGGTGAAAAACCTTTAAACATAAACACAGAGAAAGAATGATTAACATCCTTTAAATAACAAAATTGTTCCTGAAACAAAATATAAGATTTAAACCCAAAATCAAACATATTCAAATCATTGTTCAGTGATACATTTTAACATTCTAGTATTAATTTACTTTCTCAAATACATTTTAAATAATTCCTTTTTTTCAGTTTTCTTAATATTTTACCATTTCTATCTAAATATTAAAATAATTTGTGGCTCACCGGCTCCTTCTTTTTGGAACAAACTTTCCTGCAGTGCATTGTTGTGGGAAAATGTATATCTTTCTCTCATTATATATTAATATTCATATTTACTCACTATAAAAGTTTTCACTTAGTCTGTTTCTCTCTCAAGGCC